CGGGGGACAGGCGGGCGGGGGCGAGGCGTGGGTCCCGGGGCGGGCAGGACGCGGGGCTGCGCACTCACGCGGCGGCCGCGCCGGGCTGCTTGGGGCCGTGGGACATGGCAGCTCCGGGCCGGACCTGGAATCCAGACGCAGGCGGAGGTGAGGGTCCCCCCGGCTGGTGCCGGGGTCCCTGTCGCCCCCCGACAGGGAGCCCCCAGTGCCGGGCCCGGGCGCCGGCGGGTGGGGGCCGGATCCGGGGGCGGGGAAGTCCGCGAGGGCGGGCGCCCCAAGAACCCTTTGTTGGGCGATCGCGCCCCGGGAGGCCCGCGTCGGCTCCCCCGTCCCCGGCAGGGCTCCGCCCCGGCCCCGGGGCCCCTGCGCCCCCACCCCTGGCGGGGCCCCGAGTTCCGCGGCTGTTTTCACCTCCAAAGAAACTTTCCCGGCCCTTCCGACTGCTGCGACGCTCCAACCAACCGCCCCGAGCCCGCCCCCGCCGTCCGCTCCGCCCCTCCCCGCCCCCAGGATGCTAATAATGGTCCCGGAGAGCCGTCCGATTGGCTGTCTTCTTCTCCTGGGGCGTGACCATGCAGATGCAGGTCGGCGCGCCGATCGGCGACTGGCTGGGGAGGCTGCTGAGCCGCGTGGGAGGTGGGGCGGGAAGGCGGCGGGCGGTGCATCAAGTTTGGCTGCGCTCGGCCGCGGTCGGGACCAATAGGGGGCTCCAGGAGGGCCTCGCCGGGCGGAGCTTCTTAAAGGGCCAGTAGGCGCGGCGCGGACTCCTCTTCCCTGTGTGAAGGCGAAGACTCCCGCCCCTGCCGGATCAGTGCACTTGCGGATCCGGGTCGGGCCCCGCCCCAGTTGCCATGGGGACAGCGGAGGGTTGCTAGGGAGGGAGTTAAGGTCCTAGGAGGCAGCCCCCTTGCCGCAGAGTAAGGTGGGACCTGCAAAATCTGGCTGGAAGTTTCCCATATGTCCACTCCATACGCCCCGCTCTGACGCCCCGCGGGGTCTGTCCCTGAGCCCCGAGCCTGGGGCTTCTGGTCACAGGGGCTACTCTCCCCGCGGGCCTCGGCTTCCCCTCCTGCACAGTGGGTACATTACACGACATACTGGACCACGTGGCTGGGGTCTTATGTAGCTTAGCACGAGGTGTAGGGCAGGCTGGTTTTGGGATCCGGAAGCATCTGGGAAACTAGGATGATGAAGGCAGGCTGCCAGGACCTCGTGAAGGTGGGGCCTGGGCTGGGGCTACCTCTGCCCCCAGGGTGCTCCCAGGGTCACTGGGTGCTGACCACGGCCCATTAGACCCTAAACAGCCATTGCATTCCTTCCCACCTCGGGGCCTTTGCAATTGCTGTTCCCTCTGCCTGGAACGCCCTTCCCCGAAATACCTGCCTGCCTCCCTACTTGAGGTCTTTGCTCAAATGTCATCTGCTCCGAGTTTGTAGCCTCCCCCCACACCTCGTCTGATCTTTCCCTCCATACACCTATCTCTTTCGTCGTGGCCTGCCTGTTGGGTTCACTGCTGCGATCGCAGCACCTGCGACGTTGCCTAGGGTAGGTGCTCCGTACCTGTTCTCGAATAAACAAATGAATGAATCCCGCACATTTCTAAGAGGCAGGTGCAGCTGCTCTGGAAAACAATCTGGCAGTTCCTCCAAGGGTGACGTAAACACGGAATGACCCCGGGATCCAGCAATTCCACCCCTGGGAATAGACCCAAGGAGATTGAAAACAGGTGTGCAAACAGAAACAGGTACACACAGATTTGTAGCAGTGTGATTCACGCTAGCCAAAAAGTGAAAACAACCCAGGTGCCCAGGAACAATGAATGGGCAAACCACATGTCCTGCATCCCATACAGTAGAATATTATTGGCCATAAAAAAGGAGAGGCTCTGACACAGGCCACAGTGAGGGTTAACCTTGAGAACATCGTGCTCAGTGAGAGAAGCCAGACACAGAAGGACACACAGTGGGTGACTCCATTTATATGAAATGTCCCGAACAGGCAAATCCAGAGACAGGACTTGGATTCCTGGCTGTCAGGGGCTGGGGGAGGAGCCAGGGAATGACTAATGGGCCTGGGGCTTCTCTTTGGGGTGATGAAAATATTCCAAAATTAGACTGTGGAGATGGTTGCATAATTCCGTAAATATACCAGAAAGAACAGAATTGTATGTTCTAAATGGATTCACTCAATGGTATGTGGATTAAATCTCAATAAACCTGCTTTCCCGAGATGCAACCCAGGGCTGAGGAAGAGGAGCTTCTTGCCCTGGAATATTGACAGATGCAGCCTCCAGACCTCACTCTGTTGCTTAATCACCGCCCTTGCATCTGTCTGCTCAGTTAAAAACAATCTGGTGGAGACACTTCCCAGCCGAAAGACGGGGAAGCCCCGCCTTCAAGCCACACCTCTTTAGCTTGAGTGGCAAGCCTGCTGTTGCCATAGGAACGGCCCTCCAACACGATATAAAGACTTCAGGGATTTTTCCTGGACATCAAAAAGAAATGAAGAGTTTTGAAGTTGATTTTGAAAGAAGTTTCGAGCTTCCTGGCATCAAAAAAAAAAAAATGCCTTGCTGCAGGGATATTTTCTTTAAAAAAAACACAAAGGTATCTTCAGTCCAAACTGCATTTTATTCAGTCCGATTCATGCAAACCATACATGAATGTCCATGCGCCCGGACAGGCAATATCTAAGAAGCAACATTTATACTATTTGACTTTACATCCTTCCTAAAATGTTGTAAAAGTAGATCCTTTGGCCCCCAAAATCATAGCTCTGTTTTTCTTTTTTTTATTTTTCTTTCTTCCTTCCTTCCTTCTATTTTATTTTATTTTATTATTTTTGAGACAGAGTCTCTGTCACCTGGGCTGGAGTGCAATGGCGTCATCACAGCTCACTGCAACCTCAAACTCCTGGGCTCAAGGGATCCTCCCGCCTTGGCCTCCCAGAGTATGGGATTACAGGCGTGAGCCACCACGCCCTGTCAATTACATCACTTTTCCTACACACACACACACACACACACACACACACACACACACACACACACACACTTTTGGTTTGCTAGGGCTGCAATAAGAAAGTGCCACAGACAGAGTAGCTTAAACATTGGAAATTTATTCTCCCTCAGTTGAGGAGGCCGGAAGTCCAAGATCAAGGTGTGAGCAGGGATGGGTCCTCCTGAGGCCTTGAGGTCTGTCCCAGGCCTCCGCCAGTTCCTGGCAGTCACTGGCATCCTTGGCATCCCTTGGTGGGTAGAAGCATCATCCAGATCTCTGCCTCTGTGTTGCCATGACGCTGTCCCTGTGCATGTCTGTGTCCAAACTTCCCCTTTGTATAAAGGCTACCAGGCACATTGGATCAGGGCCAGCCTTAATGACCTCATCTTAACTGATGACATCTACCCTGGCCCTATTTCAAAATAAGGTCGCCTTCTGAGGTCCTAGGGGTTACTACAACCTACACATTCGTGGGGGACATAATTGCACCCACAGCACACGCACACGCACATATGTGTGTGCGATATGTCTATTCCCATAAAAACATGAGGTCCTGTTTTGCTGGTTATTATACCGCTGCCCTCAAGCACTAAGCATCAGCCTGCAACCCACTCCGTTCTTGCAATAACGTTCCTCATATAAAGTTTCCTTATAGATTAGGCACATAGTGACACTGCGTAACATTCCTTAGTGCGACTGTACTACACTCTGCTTAACAAGTCTGGCTGATGTATTAAATATATATCAAATATATATTAAATATATCGTCCTTTTCAATGTTACACTCTTCCAGCCCCTGCTATAAATGTCCCTGACTTGCCGTCCTGAGCCCATGGGTGGGGTAGATTGGTTAGGAAGGAAGACACAAAATTGCTCCCAGTTAAATTTTTTTTGTTTTTTTTTTTCAGGGACAGGCTTTCACACTATATTGCTCAGGCTGGTGTCGATCTCCCGGCCTCAAGTGATCCTCCCACCTTGGCCTCCCAGAGTGCTGGGATTACAGGTGTGAGCCACAGCGCCCTGCCTACTGGAAGTATTTTTTGGTTATCCCTAGTAGGGGATACTATTAGCATGTACTGTGTTAAGGCCAGAGGTCCTGCACCACCAAACACCCTTACGCCTCCAGGTACCCTATTCGACAGGGCTACCCTCACCCCCATTGTACAGAGAGGGAAACTGAGGTTCAGTGGTTTGCCTGTGACTGCCCAGATTGGATCTCAGATGTGGCCACCCCCGGCCCGGCCACAGTTACCCTCAGATCTAAGGAGGTTTCTGCGGAGCCCTGAGAACCCTCGTGCCCTATCCTGCCCCTAATCTGCGGACAGGGACAGAGAAGATGAAAGGGACCCTCACTGGCTGACACCCCCCTCCACTGCACCCCGAGGCTGGAAAGGGGCCACGAGGACATCTGATCTCCAGCCAGGGGAGGGGGGACGCCGGCCTGGCGTCGGGGGCAGCTGGCGACGCTCTGGGGACATCAAAGACTGTCAGAATCTCTCCTGCCCCCAAGCCTATCTGTCCTTCCGTCTGTCCTGCCCCCCAGGGCTAGGACATTCATCTCTCCTTGTTTCCTGGCATCCCTCACTCTAGATGGGGACTTCTCTGATCTTCACCCCCAAATCCAGCCCCCCTTTCTTATCGTAGCACGTGTCCCCTCCACCGGTGTCCCGACCCATGCAGCTGAGGCCTGTGCCCCTCACCCCATGGGACGTTTTATCTGATGCTGTCCCGCCCTCTCTCAAAACCCCCCCACAGCCCCTCAGTGACCACAGGGTAAAGTCCCAACTCCTTACCTGCCATTTAATCACCTTCATGGGCTGACACTGCCAGCCCGGCTCTGAGCAGGGGAGCTGGAAATGTTCAGCTCTGTCCCCCAGCAACCCACAGACTGGGCACTTCGGAATCTTTGGGGCTCCTTAGCAAGAGGCTGGATCCTCTGAATGAATGAATGACACAGCTCAGCACGAGGGCTGGGCCCCCAAGGTCCCAGGGTCAGGGTCGAACTTGTTCCTGTTTTCCCCACAGAGTTCCGTGGATCTGCTGCTCCAAGGGGCTGCAGGGATCATACCTGGGCTATTTTTTTTTTTTAATTTTTTGAGACAGAGTCTTGCTCTGTCGCCCAGGGTACAGTGCAGTAGCATCAGCCTCCGCTCACTGCAGCCTCCAACTACTCCTGGGCTCAAGCAATCCTCCCGCCTCAGCCTCCCGAGTAGCTGGGACCACAGGCAGGTCCCATCACACCTGGCTAATTTTCCATATTTTTTCTAGAGATGGGGTCTTGCTCTTGCCCAGGCTGATCTCGAACTCCTGAGCTCAAGCAATCCCCCCGCCTGGGCCTCCCTAAGTGCTGGGATTACAGGCGCGAGCCACTGTGTCCAGCCATAGACTGGTATTTTTAAAAGTCATTTTTTTATTGCTAAAGGGGAGAACGTGCGCAGGGAGGAAAGAATTGAGGTTCTTATCTCTCG